TCTCAGCGATCTTGTCCTTCTACTCAACAAAACGAGGTTGCAGAACGCAAAAATCGTCATCTTCTTGATATGGTACGAGCTCTGCTGATTGACTCTTGTGTTCCATCTTGTTTTTAGTGTGAAGCATTATCTACCGTTGCACATCTCATAAATCGGTTACCTTCTCCCACTCTTAATAATGTTTCTCCATTTTATAAACTATTTGGTCACCATCCCACATATTCCCATCTGCGTCCCTTTGGCTGCGTGTGTTTCGTTTACTTACAATCTCATGAAAGGACAAAGCTCACCCCTCAATCTATCAAGTGTGCATTTTTAGGATATGGTGGAACCCAAAAAGGGTATCTCTGTTATGACCCTACAACACAACGTATCTGGATTTCTCGTAATGTTATCTTTTTTGAGAACCTATCCTTCTTTCCATCCGAAGTTGAGGTTTCTCCCATGTTTTCTATCTTACTTGATTTTCCTATAGAATTTTCCTGGTACAATCCGGGGTGTGTTTATACTCGCAGGGATGTTGCACCTACCGCTGGTTCCATAGTTTCTTCTCCGACTACTATCCTCCCAGGCCTCCCTGATCATCCACCAACGACATCTGATCCTTCACCGGATGATCTACCGCCTCCTGTCCCTCCCCGTCGTACTTTTCGTGTTCCTCGACCACCTGATAGGTATGGTTTTCCCTCCCATAGTTCTATGTGTGCTACACTTGCTTCGATTTCCATTTCTTCCTTCTACAGACAGGCTTTAGAGCAAGAGTGTTGGCAACAGGCGATGACAGCAGAACTTGAGGCTCTTGAGGCAAATCAGACTTGGGATGTTGTGTCCTGTCCACCGACTGTGAAACTCATTGGGGGTAAATGGGTATATTCTGTCAAACTTCGTTCTGATGGTTCTCTTGAGCGCTATGGGACTCGACTTGTTGCTTTAGGTAACCGTCAAGAGTATGGAATCGACTATGATGAGACTTTTGCTCCGGTAGCTAAAATGACCACTGTACGTCTTCTGTTATCACTTGTTGCTTCCCAGTCATGGTTTTTACATCAAATGGATGTGAAGAACGCGTTCCTCCACGGAGACCTCAAGGAAGATATCTATATGAAACTTCCATCTGGTATGCCTCTTCCTTCATTAGATTCTGTTTGAAAACTAAGATGCTCTTTGTAAGGTCTTAAGCAGGCTCCTAGAGCATGGTTTGACAAGTTCTGCTGCACCCTTTTGGACTTTTCCTTTACTTAGAGTCAGTATGATGCATTACTATTTCTTCACAAGAGTAAAGATGAGATAGTTTGTTTGTTAGTATATGTGGATGATATTATTATTTCTGGATCTGATCACATCCTTATTCCAAAGTTTCAGCAACATCTTCACTCGATTTTTCATATGAAAGATCTTGGTCATCTCACTTACTTCCTTGGATTAGAAGTCCATATTGCACCTCACGGTATTTTCTTGAATCAACATAAGTACATTCAAGACTTGATTGGATTAGCTAATTTATCTGAAGCCTCGTCCGTTGATACTCTGTTGGAGCTTAATGTTAAATATCGTAAAGATGAAGGCAAAATTCTTTCGGACCCTACTCTATATCGTCGGTTGGTGGGAAGTCTTATCTATCTCACTATCACACGTCCTAATATTTCCTTCACTGTTCATACCGTTAGCAAATTTATGGATGCTCCTCGTCATCTACATTTGGGAGCTGTTCGTCGTATTATTCGGTACCTTATTGGGACTCCTCATCGTGATTTGTTCTTCCCTCGGGGGACATCTCTGGAGCTCACTGCTTATAGTGATGCTGATTGGGCTGGCTGCTCTGATTCTCGTCATTCTACCACTCGGTGGTGTATTTTTCTTGGAAATGTAATAAGCAGGATTGTGTTTCTAAGTCTTCCACTGAGGCTGAGTATCGTGCTATGTCAGCTGTTTGTTCTGAGGTTGTATGGATGCGGGGTTTTCTTGCTGAACTTAGTGTTTCTCAATCACGGCCTTCACCACTCCATGGTGACCACACTAGTGCTATTCAGATAGC